CCCAATGGATCAGTGGTCAGGCCCAGTGGATCAGTGGTCAGGCCCAGTGGATCGGTAGGTCAGGCCCAGTGGATTGGGTGGTCAGGCCCAGTGGATCAGTGGTCAGGCCCAATGGATCAGTGGTCAGGCCCAGAGGATTGGGTGGTCAGGCCCAGTGGATTGGGTGGTCAGGCCTAATGGATCGGATTTCAGGCCCAATGAATTGGGTGGTCAGGCTCAATGGTTGGATGGTCAGGCCCAACGGATTGGGTGGTCAGGCCCAGTGGATTGGGTGGTCAGGCCCAATGGATCAGTGGTCAGGCCCAGAGGATTGGGTGGTCAGGCCCAGTGGATTGGGTGGTCAGGCCTAATGGATCGGATTTCAGGCCCAATGAATTGGGTGGTCAGGCCCAATGGATCAGGTGGTCAGGCCCAATGAGTCTGTCTCAGTGACTGGTTTATTATCCCCCGCCGCGCGAAAGCGCGAAGCGGGGGATATAGTATTCACGACCGTCCGTACGTCCGTCCGTACGTCCCACCTGTTTGTTGCCGCGATATCTCAAGAACTAAACACTGGATTGTCTTCATATTTGGAACTATGGTGTATATACAGACTCCGCAGACACCAGTCGGTTTTGGTGACCTTGATCCCATTTTCAAGGTCACAGCAGACAAATCTGCTTTTAGAGTTGGAAAACGGTGTTGCCGCGATATCTCAAGAACTAAACACTGGATTGTCTTCATATTTGGAACTATGGTGTATCTACAGACACCGCAGACACCAGTCGGTTTTGGTGACCTTGACCCCATTTTCAAGGTCACAGCAGGCAAATCTGCTTTTGGAGTTGGAAAACGGTGTTGCCGCGATATCTCAAGAACTAAACACTGGATTGTCTTCATATTTGGAACTATAGTGTATATACAGACTCCGCAGACACCAGTCGGTTTTGGTGACCTTGATCCCATTTTCAAGGTCACAGCAGGCAAATCTGCTTTTAGAGTTGGAAAATGGTGTTGCCGCGATATCTCAAGAACTAAACCTCTCGATTGTCTTCATATTTGGAACTATGGTGTATATACAGACACCGCAGACACCAGTCGGTTTTGGTGACCTTGACCCCATTTTCAAGGTCACAGCAGGCAAATCTGCTTTTGGAGTTAGAAAACGGTGTTGCCGCGATATCTCAAGAACTAATCGCTGGATTGTCTTCATATTTGGAACTATAGTGTATATACAGACATGGCATACACCTGTCAGATTTGGTGACCTTGACCCCATTTTCAAGGTCACAGCAGGCAAATCTGTTTTTGGAGTTGGAAAACGGTGTTGCCACAATATCTCAAGAACTAATCGCTGGATTGTCTTCATATTTGGTACTATGGTGTATATGGCGGGGGATATTTCGTCACTCTGTGACAAATACTTGTTAAATTTCATTGTATCCAATTTGCATGGATTGATGCTCATGATGTCAATCACTGGTATGTGTGGTTCAGATCCTATTATCGTCAGACCAGTGTCATATAGCTGGAAAATGAGTGTGGAGTTAAACAACAAAGTTTGGGCTTTTCTCCCACACCAAGCTGATGATGTGACATGACAGGGATCCCATCAGCTCATCCACTTCCATGTTTACATTATCATGCATGGAGATGGCTGTACTATCTGAACTTGGCTTAGTATGTTTATGCATGTATGCTTTGATTTGAACATTTTTTTAAATGAAAATTGTAATACAAAATGTTTTAAATGATATTTAAGTATTTCTTTACGATTTGGTTACTTTTACTTCCCTTTATTTTAAGAGTCTTTGGAGTGCTGATTGTTGAAATGAAATAATAAATTGACATGTAACTGAGGTATTAGAGATTTCACGCAGTATTTCAATTTATAAAGGATCATATTTTATTTCATTGTTCAATAATCTTCCCAAGAAAATTATGAAACACTGAAATGAATTTTGATGAAATACCTGTGTCTTTGATAACCAGTCTTTAGCTCACCTGACTTGAAGTCAAGTGAGCTTATGTCGTGATGCATTGTCCGTCCTTTTATGTTTTCGACACATCTGAAACTATAAAGTGTGTTGAGCTGAAACAACCCTATTTATAGTGGTTAAAGGCAAACTGGAATTCTGTGTGTTCATTTTAAACTTGTCAGTTATGATTTGTTCATAAGTCAGGTGAGCTACAAAGCCTTGTGGCTCCATTGGTTTAACAGTGGACCATTCACTCAGGAATGTCTTCATATATATATATATATATATATATATATATATATATATATATATATATATATATACTACTCAAAAGAAGTTAAAAAAGACACAGTTCTTGCATATTGCTACAGTAAACTACGGTTATAATGATCTTAAAGGGACCACTAATTAAGGTTCCTTATGAGTGAGTGAGTGAGTGAGTGAGTGAGTTGGGTTTAACGCCGCTTTTAACAGTATTCCAGTTATATCACGGCGTGTCAGCTTAATGTGGGAGGAAAGCCCGAAGCGATGCAGGTCTCAGACGTTTACCACTTCGGTGAAGCACGAATATGGTGCTGACAAACCTAGAAACATAATCGGGGCGAACCGGGATTCGAACCCACAATCATAGGTTTCTGGCGTGCCCAAGGGACGCAACTCTGCACAGCGAATCGCGGCGCCTTAGACGACTGGGCCACCCGTGCCCCCTTAGGTTCATTATGACTAGGGTTCGTCCTAAGCATATGTTCATCAAATGGCCAGGACCAAAAAAAGTTTATCATATCTTTCAGTTCATTATAAGAGTGTTCGTTATAAACCTAGTTTACTGCATAGTTAATATGTCTTAGTAATATGAAAAAAACCAGGTGTTCCTTAACTTCTTTTGTTTGTTTGTTTGTTTGTTGTTTAACGCCACACTCAGCAATATTCAAGCTATATTATGGCAGTCTGTAAATAATCGAGTCTGGATCAAACAATCCAGTGATTAACATCACGACCATCGATCCACCCATTTGGGATACAATGACATGCATCAACCAAGTCAGCGAGCCTGACCACCCGATCCCGTTAGTCGCCTTTTACGACAAGCATAGTCGCCTCTTACGACAAGCATGGGTTGCTGAAGACCTATTCTAACCCAGATCTTCAGGGGTCTAACTTCTTTTGAGTAGTATATAAAGACATTGGTTAAGCATAAAGGACTGTCCGTTATTCTGGTCAGGGTCTGGAGATAGATAGATTGTTAGGGACGGAATGTTTTTCAGTCACATCCTTTGTAAGTCTTGACAAGCCTGCAAAATTATTTTTTCCATGAACAATTTTTTGTTTCAAAACATCTCCATTTCCCCTTCCTTTTCTTCCCATTGTTGATCCAGGTTAATTCACTGTGATTGGTCCGTCCAGACCAATGGGGATTCACGGTGTAGGATGTGTAGATGTGAGCATGTCAAGACGGGGATGATGACCTTCCCGTATTTAAAAGCCTGAGAACCAGCCCCTCCTTTGTCTAGTGTTGGGCTGACTTATCCATTGTGATGTTTAAACAAGTGCAAACTGTCCCATTGTTGGGGTATAATGAGAGGTGTGTTGGGATAACATTAACACACAATGTACCTGTATTGTGATGACATTAACATACAATGTACCCATTTGTCTCGGCAAAGTCGTATACAGGACACAAACCTTCCAACAATGAACTTAGCAGGTGGTTTTAAAATATTAACAACATCTGCAACCTTGAAAAAGTTTCTGTGACCTTTCTACGCTGAATATAAGAAAATGGTCAAAACAAAGGTTTTTCACTTTTTGACATTCCTAGATCTATTTCAATTTCTTACCCCGTACATGCATGAAGTGCTTATATCAGATACTTTATTCACATATCGCTATTGCACCCTCAAATATACGCTCAGTTAAAGCGCAGCGAAGCATGGCTCCCAAAATTTATGTGCATGTTAAATTAACTCAAGTTTAACACAATGTTTTTCACCACCGAAAAAACAACATTACCAGCTGATCACCGCGAGCATGTAACATTCTTTGAAGTTGTATCATTGGGTAGTTTTTAACCGAATCACTGGTTCATGTGTACTGCTTATTTTTTTCGACTTCTTTCACGAGAAAACACGCACAGTAATCTGAATCTCAGCACATTAAACAATGACTTGGTGAGCTGGAAATACAATTTAAATGGTAAAGCATCAGATCTAGTGATGTTTTGTATCAATTTTCACATTTTTATTGACCAAGTGTGTTATCACCTGTTTATTCACCTGAGTTTGTTGAGGTAGTTTTTTACTGTGCATAACACTTGACAATTTTTTTAATTTTTTGAATCATAAACAACCGTTATGTTCTCATCTTTTTTCAAACTCTGTACTGTTGTGTTGGTCATCTCGCCACACCCTACCACTCCACCTCGGTTAAACCGCTGATCGTCTATTATTTGGACCCCATAGGTGACGTTGTAGCGAGAGATCACCGTTTGTCTGAAGAACAACAGCCTTTATTCAGATATGTCTGAAGAACAACAGCCTTTTGTTCAGATATGTCTGAAGAACAACAGCCTTTATTCAGATATGTCTGAAGAACAACAGCCTTTTGTTCAGATATGTCTGAAGAACAACAGCCTTTTGTTCAGATATGTCTGAAGAAAAACAGCCTTTTTTTCAGATACATTTGTATGTCTGAAGAACAACAGGCTTTTGTTCAGATATATCTGAAGAACAACAGCTTTTATTCAGATATGTCTGAAGAACAACAGCATTTTGTTCAGATATGTCTGAAGAACAACAGCATTTTGTTCAGATATGTCTGAAGAACAACAGTCTTTATTCAGATATGTCTGAAGAACAACAGCCTTTATTCAGATAGGTCCAAAGGACATGAGTCTCTATTCAGATATGCCATAGTACAAAGTCTTTGTTCAAACATTTAATTCCCCAACATGTTTTGTTGAGTATAGTATGCTTGAGATTTGTGGAGTATATTTTTCAGTGTATGAAAACAAGCAGTACTTCATCTTCTTGTTTTCTGTTCCAGTCCATCTCAGGAAGACGAGGAGGAGGAAGAGAATTACGTGCACTTTATATCCAGATTAAATCGTCCAGGACGTGACTCTGATACAGAGTCAGATTCTGATCTCAGTGACACCGACCTTGACCCTGATGTGGATGAAGATGAAAATGACGGCCCAAGCGAGGATCTGTCATTCAAGAAAGAGGAGGAAAAAGGTTCATGGCTGTCATATTGTGCAATTTTGTAAAACATGTCGGAAAATGAAGGTTCTGTTAGATCTTGAACCGACATTAAATTTCAGAATGATGTTGCACCCAGATGACCTTTCTGTACTCATGTCAGTTGCGATGGTTACAGCTGGTTCCATCAAAAAAGAAAGTTGCATCAAGAAACAAACTTACTTATGAAATCAGGTGTCAGAATCATTTCCTAGATGGATCTCCCTAACTCCCTATGTATGTATTTCCCATCTATATGTTATGACTGTATCGTGCAGATTTAATCATTAGTCTGTATTCAGCCTGCAGTGCTATCAGCCTTACCTTTGGTCAAACACTTCTTGGATAAGAGGGGGGGACGTATGGCCCAGTTGTCTTAGGCGCTGCGATTCGCTGTGCAGAGTTGCGTCCCTTGGGCAAGCCAGAAACCTATGATTGTGGGTACGATTCCCAGTTTGCCCCGATTATGTTTCTAGGTTTGTCAGCACCATACCTGTGTTCGTGGGTTTCTCCGAAGTGGTTAACGTCTGAGACCTGCATCACTTCGGGCTTTCCTCCCACATTGAGCTGACACGCCGTGATATCACTGGAATACTGTTAAAAGCGACGTCTAAACCCAACTCACTCACTCACTCACTCTCGGATAAGAAAACCTGCATCTTAATGGTAAGCAACTTCTGGTTCCTTCTTAAACTGTTATCAAGCTGGAGTGACAACAACCAAGTGATGAGAGGGATGAGGGATATATGCATTGACAACAATGGTGATAGATAGCAAGTGGCATTGATAATTGGATGAACAGTAAGAATAACATTCAGCACACAGGTATTGAAACAAGCTAGAATGCTAATCAAACAGTTCATTCTTGGATAGTGCACAGTTGGCAGATCTTGGGTTGCAGTCACACCCCACTCTGCCCATGATGAATATCAATCTGGTTAAAGGTTTTAACACAGAGGCATTGATGGAACTTGACTCATAGCACAAATGATAACATCTAGACCTTGGCCCCGTTCCACCAACCGGTCATAGCACTAAGATGATCAGCTTAGGATCATCACAACGCTAAGATCGCCTTGTGGAACGGACCCTGAACCAGACTTGGACCGTGGAGCCTGGTGACCTTTCACCTCGTGTAGGGAGCTTTGACCAGCCTTGGACACAAAGTCAGAATGTGTTTCTGCTTATATCTTCAAGTATTAGTGAACATTTGATTTTGGAATACACAAAGAACTGCTACTTAAAACAATGCAAAGGTAAGCCAAGGATTCTATTGTTGAGCTGTACCATGTTTTTATTCCGATAGTATTCTCTATCTTACTTGAAGATGAACCAATCTGAAACACTGTATATTATTAATACTGTATTTTCGTAAATGTATTCTGATATGAAATGCAATTTGGACAAGAGGTGATGATAGCTTTGATGCTTTTCGATGAGCTTGAAACATTTCGTATGTTGACTTGATAAATTCTAAGGCTGGACAAGAGGCTTTTTTCTTCATGGACATCATTTGATCTGTCAATATATAGCATGTCCATGGTGCTACCCATGTGATTAAGCTGTATGGGGATCAACTTGTGGCATATTTACAGAGTTGCATCCTTTGGCCATGCCAGGATCTGCTAGTCATGGATTCAAATTCCAGATCTATACTCAATTATTATCCTTTGTTTGTCAGCACCATACACAAACTTGTAATTTCATTGTATTTCTCGGGGCAGTGTCATGCTAAACACCCGGGTTCGATTCCCCGCATGGGTACAATGTGTGATGCCCTCAATGTTGCTGGAATATTTCTAAGAGCGGCGTAAAACCATGCTCACTCACTCACTGTGTTTCTTAATGTCAAACCCAACTCACTATAAGGTATATGGACCTTGTATATGTGTGGATGTCTTCATCCAAGTATATGCATGACGCCAAATAATATTTGTGAAAACTGTTCTTCCAACTATTCTTTACCAAAGATCTTGAATATACTGCAGAGGATATATCTATCATGTTTATTATGAAACATTAATAATTATTTTCAGCATTATGGAAATATTGTATAATGTATTTATAGGTATTAGGGACAGACAATACTTTCCTTCTCAACATTGTCTGGTTGAGTTATGAACTATTATATACATGCATATTTATTCTTATTCCTGCTTCTTATGTTACCATGGTTACTCGAATTTTACAAACATTCATGGTTGTTGCCATACTAAAGCTTACAATTAGTTTGAAGTATTTATTCATATATATCATAACGTTTTGACACCGTATAAGTGCCTGAAAACCTAGAAATTTGTATCACTTAAAACACAATGCTGTTTGTACTGAATATTCTGTATGTATATTACCATGTCCATTACTCTGAGACATTTCATTGGAGGTAATATTTGTTCAATGTCCTCGGTAGTTTTGCCACGGACCTATATAACCAAGTATACTATATACAAGTCCGTGGTTTTGCACCAATATTACCCTATATCATTTTTTCATATGAATTTTCATTGCCATAGGAACGACAGGTAGACAATTTCCATCCATTTTGTCTTTCTCAACACCCTGAGAAACATACACAATGGGACCCTTTACGAACATACATTTCAAGCAGAGTTGACTTTTGTCTTCAGATCACCTTAGCCTCGCTTCACAAAGTGAAATCTTAGCGCCACAAGTGTCACACCAGGGCCTTTCTTCCTGAAATTCTCGTCAATGTAAGGTCCCAGAAATCCTCATATGATATCTACAATAGAGTCCGAAGATTGTTCCCTTTAAAGTTGCCTGGTACTCTCGTAATCATGATTAAAAAAATTTGATGCTAAGAATCACACCATTTTTTAAAAGATTTTTTGTGAAGTATGAAAGACATTTATTTTCGAAGCATTTTGACATAACTTAATGGCATCGTTACGTTAACTGTATTCCCGGAAACGGTAATTAAATCTTACGAGAATGCAAAGTTAAAAGTGTGATGTCTAAGGCTTTCGAGATTTTCCTGGACTTCCGGGAGTTGTAGCGCTAAGATCACATTGTTGGCAGGGGATCCTGTCTCATATTGTACTCATTGTTTACACTGATCAGATATTTTACTATATATTTACAACATACTCACTGTATCCCACACTGGTGACTGTGAGAGAACGGCTGTCACTAGACTAAGGACGGGAGGCGTTATTCGTATTGTTCATGTGATCAGACTTGTGAGCAATGTCTGCAGGATTATAATGCATGGTAGTGCTGTTTGTGCTCTTAGTGAATTAGTCTCACTGTGGCAGTTCCAGATTGAAATAGGTCCCCCGCAACTTATTCTGATCGTGAAAAGTGACTACCGTATTCAACGTAATAAGCGCCCTGCTCTAATAAGCGCCCACGTCAATATTTGCTGATATATTGGCTAGTGAACAATCCCAATTGGCACCCCTTCTGATTGATCAATGTACAGAAGACTTATTTATTCACGTATAATACGCACTCGTGTGTTATATGCACACTTAATTATGGGCAATTAAATCCTGGAAAACTATATCTGCCGTACATAAACATTTCAGGCTGTCAGCATAAACCACGAAATTTATCTTTTTTCGATTCTTTTTCAACTAATTTTTCACCAATATAATAATATTCTAATAAGAGCCCCCTATTTCTAATTTTGAGAGCGCCCTGGGCGCTTATTACATGAAATACGGTAAATGGATCGGGTGGTCAGATTCACTGATTTGTTTGATAGCGTGTCATCGTACCCTGACGGAGTGGATCGCTGCTCATAATATCGACCACTGGATTGTCAGTCCAGGCTTGATAATTTACAGGCCGCTGACATATTGCTGGAATATTGCTGAATGCAGCAGTTCAGGCAGCCCTCATATTGCTGGACTATTGCTAAAAAACAAGCAAAGCTGCTGCATGTTGGGTTTTTTCATCCATTTTTTCCAAAAATATATATACTTGTGAGTGAAAGATTTATGGTGATGTGCTTAAATAATGAATACCCTGTTATGATGTTATATTGTGCATTAAAGGTGCATCCCCAGTTATGAAATATTTTTCTAATTTTCATTTGCAAGAAGTGTCATTTCTGCCAAGTTTGGTCCTATTTGCATTGGAGTGTTCGGGTGGCCTAGTGGGCTCATGCTTTTGATCATCCCACTTTAGACCTAGGTTTGATTCCACACATGGGTGCAATTTGTGAGCCCGGTTTGTGTCCTCAACTGTAAGATTGCTTGGAAGGTTTTTGACCCTACCCTCTCACTCATTGAATACCCTGCACAGCCAATATACTGTGTTTCCTCAAATAAATGTCAGATTTCCAGAAGAAACTGACAAAGAGACTCATCAACCCTCTGTCAATATCATATTGAGATCACTGTGCAGAGTTGTGTCCCTTGGGCACGCCAGAAAACTGCGATCGTGGGTTCAAGTCCCAGTTCACCCAGATTGTTTCTAGTTTTGTCAGCACTCCAACCATGTTCGCGGGTTTCACCGAAGTGGTAAACATCTGAGACCCGCATCACTTCAGGCTTTCCTCCATCATCAAGCTGATACGCCGTGATATAACTGGAATACTGTCAAAAGTGCCAATAAACCAACTCACTTACTATCATGTTAAGACAGATAAACACTGTCTGTTAGATTGGAGGAAATACGGTATATCAGTGGCGCTGTTTGTGTATAGAACAAGAACATTACTTTCATGGCGGTACTGAAAATGGCCCTCTAAAAATAGAGATGCACGTATACGATTGGTTTGTTATGGCCTTTGTTGTGGTATTATTCATCATATATCTGTTACATAATGAATTGAATACAGTGAGATCAACGTTACTTATACTAGATTTTGTTACTGAATGAAAGTTGAGGGAACTGTCTTTGGTTAACTATTTCCGGGAGAAGATGTTTGTGTATGTTATGGTTGGTGGAGTGCCATGCCGCTGGACGAAAGAACAATACATGAAGGAAATCTGAAATATATCTGAAACTGATAGAAAACAGAGAGACCTTTTTACATGCAGATGCTCGTAATGTCAATCACTGGATTGTCTGGTCCAGACTCGATAATTTACAAACCGCCGTCATATAGCTGGAATATTTCTGAGTGCGGCGTTAAACAACAAACAAACAAACAACATGCAGATGAAACATTGGTGACGTATAGTTGAAAGAGTGACACACTTGAAATATTATGGACATTTAGCTGAAACATTGTTGACACATTGTTGACACATTGTTGAAACAATGAAACACAGTTGAAATATTATTAATACATCGGTGAAACATTGACATGGTTGAAATGTTATAGATACATATGTGAGACATTGTCACACGGTTGAAATGTTATCAATACATAGCTGAAACATTGTCAGACAGTTGAAATCTTATTAATACATAGCTGTAACATTGTCACACAGTTAAAATGTTATTACTACATAGCTGTAACATTGTCACACAGTTGAAATGTTATTAATACATAGTTGAAACATTGT